CAAAAACCTCAAACTAAGGCTTACAATTTTCCTATAGATGTTTTCACCCTCGCTAGTACCGATCCTTCGAGAAATTCGAAAGCCCACATGCTTGCATCATCTCAAAAACGCGAAAAAGGGTATTTTTTGGGCCTAAACATCGCTCTTTGGCAAAAATCACCCCGAGTTCAAGGCCAAGGGTGACATGTTTTGATCGTTGGCTCATTTGGCATGAAACTAAGTCTAAAAAAGCTCAAAACTTGGCCGACCATTTTTCACTCAAAATCAAGCTCGACTCACGGTCGAGGTCGATGAGTCTCGATGGTTGTCTCATTTTTCATGAGGTAATTCACGAAAATCTAAAACCGGAGCTATGGTTTTCCTATAGATTTTTTCCTACTCGCTCACACTCGGTTGTTCTAGGAACTTAAAAGCTTGCATGCCCGCATCATCTCAAAAAATAAGAAACGCATATTTTTTATGCCTAAACGTCATTTTTGGCATAAATAACCCCAAGGACATGGCCAAAGGCAATGAGTTTTGATTGGTCGCTCGTTTGGCATCGAACTAGGTCTAAAACGACTCAAAACTTGATCGGCCTTTTTTGCCTAAAATCAAACTTAGGTCACGAGTTGAGGAAGAAGAGTCACGATGGTTGTCCTTTTTTTCATGAGGTAGGTCTCGAAAACCTCAAACTCGGGCTTAAAGTTTTTCTATAAATTTTTTCGTGCTCGCTCACATCGACCCTTCAAGGAACTCGAAAGCTCGCATGCTCATGTCATCTCAAAAAACTAAAAAAAGTATTTTTAGGCCTAAACAACGTTATTTGCCAAAAATCAACCCAAGGTCAAGGCCAAGGGTGATGAGGTTTGATCGTTGGCTCACTTGGCATAAAAGTAGGTCTAAAACAAATCAAAACTTGGTCGACCATTTTTCACTCAAAATCAACCTCGACTCAAAGTCGAGGTCGATGAGTCTCGATGGTCGTCTCATTTTTCATGAGGTAATTCAAGAAACCTTAAACCGGGGCTTATAGTTTTCCTATAGATTTTTTCATGCTCGCTCACATTGGTTGTTCCATGACCCGAAAGCCTATATGCCGAGCATCATCTTGAAAAACTAAAAAAATGTATTTTTTGTGCCTAAACGTCATTTTTTGGAAAAGATAACCCCGAGATCATGGCCAAAGGAAATGAATTTTGATCGTTGGCTTGTTTGTGTTCAAACTAGGTCTAAAACTACTCAAAACTTGGTCGGTCGTTTGTGGATCAAAATCAACCTCGGCTCACGATTGAGGCTAATGAGTCTCGATGGTTGTCCCTTTTTCCATGAGGTAGGTCCTAAGAACCTTAAACCAAGGCTTACAGCTTTTCTATAGATTTTTTCACCTTCGCTCATACCGACCCTTTGAGGAACTCAAAAGCCCGCATGCTCGTAACATCTCAAAAAGCTGAAAAAAGTATTTTTAAGGCCTAAACGTCGTTTTTTTTGGCAAAAATCACCCCGAGGTCAAGGCCAAGGGCGATGAGTTTTGATTGTTGGCTCGTTTGGCATGAAACTATGTCTAAAATAGCTCAAAACTTGGCTGACCATTTTTCACTCAAAATCAACCTCGACTCATAGTCGAGGTCGATGAGTCTCAATAGTTGTGTCGTTTTTCATGAGGTAATTCAAGAAAATCTCAAACTAGGGCTTATGGTTTTTCCTATAGATTTTTTCGCACTAGCTCACACCGATCGTTGAAGGAACTCAAAAGCTGCATTCCGAGCATCATCTCGAAAAACAAGAAATGCATATTTTTCGTGTCCAACCGTCGTTTTTTGCACAAATAACCCCGAGGTCATGGCCAAAGGCCGTGAGTTTTTATTGTTGGTCTGTTTTGGCATTAAACTAGGTCTAAAATAGTTCAAAACTTGGTCGACCATTTTTTGCTTAAAGTCAACCTCGGTTCACGGTCGAGGCTAATGAGTCTCAATGGTTGTCTCGTTCTCTATAAGGTAATTTCAAAAAACCTCAAACCGGGGCTTATAGTTTTCCTATAGATTTTTTCACACTCGTTCACATTGGTCGTTCTAGAAACTTGAAAGCTTGTATACCGAATCATCTTGAAAAAACAAAAAAAGTATATTTTTCATGCCTAAACGTCGTTTTTTAGAAAAGATAACCCCGAGGTCATGGCCAAAGGTAATGATTTTTTATCATTTGCTCATTTTCCTTTGAACTAGGTCTAAAACTACTCAAAAATTAGTCGATCATTTGTGGATAAAAATCAACCTCGACTCACATTCGAGGCCAATAAGGCTCGATGGTTGTCTCTTTTTCCATGGGGTAGGTCGTAAAAACCTCAAACCAAAGCCTATAATTTTTCTATAGAGTTTTTTGCCCTCGCTCGCACTAACCCTTCAAGAAACTCGAAAGCCCGTATGCCCGCATCATCTCAAAAACTCGAAAAAAGGTATTTTTCCGGTCGAAACATCATTTTTTTGGCAAAAATACCTCGAGGTCAAGCCAAGGGTGATGAATTTTGATCGTTGGCTTGTTTTGCATCAAACTAGGTCTAAAACAACTCAAACCTTGGCCAACCATTTTTCACTCAAAATCAACCTTAGCTCACAATCAAGGTCGATGAGCCTCGATGATTGTCTCGTTTTCCATGAGGTAATTCAAGAAAATCTCAAACCGGGGTTTATGGTTTTCGTATAGATTTTTTCACACTCGCTTACATCAAACGTTCCGAGAACTCGAAAGCTCGCATGCCGACATCATCTTGAAAAAAAATGAAATTAGTATTTTTCGTGCCTAAACGTCATTTTTTGGCACAAATAACCTCGAGGTCATGGCCAAAGGCCATGAGTTTTGATCGTTGGCTCATTTGGCATCGAATTAGGTCTAAAACGACTCAAAACTTAGACGATCGTTTTTAGCCTAAAATCAAACTCATTTCATAGTTAAGGCCGATGAGTCATGATGGTTGTCCTTTTTTTCATGAGGTAGGTCTCAAAAAGCTCAAACCGGGGCTTAATGTTTTCCAATAGATTTTTTCATGCTCGCTTACACCAACCCTTCAAGGAACTCGAAAGCCCGCATGCTCGCATCATCTCGAAAAACTAAAAAAAGTTATTTTCGAGTGTAAACCTCAAACTAGGGCTTAATGTTTGATCGTTGGCTCGTTTGCCATCAAAATAAGTCTAAAACGACTCAAAACTTGGTCGACCATTTTTCACCGAAAATCAACCTCGGCTCACGGTCGAGGTCGATGAGCCTTGATTATTGTCTCGTTTTCCATGAGGTAATTCCGGAAAACCTCAAACTAAGGCTTATAGTTTTCCTATAGATTTTTGTCGTGCTCGTTCACAATAGTCATTCCATGAACTCTATCGCAGGGCGACGTCGGGCGGTGAGGTAAAATGTAGGACAAATGATTGGAGTCGTCACCTAGTATTACGGTTACTAAGAAACCTCATGGCTGGTCTATTTAGAGTTTTGGGTAAGGGGTTTATTACGTGTAGGGAAGACCAAAAGTCACCCTACCCCGTCTTGCCTAAGGCAAGCTGCATTGCATACAATCTTAATTTAACTTTTGATGAAAGTGCCCCCTTTGTCAAGTGATTAGGGACCTAGTCAATCGAAGACCTTGTCCTCACTTTTTAATAAATGGCTAAAAATGATGAGCATGGGGATATCCTACTAGTGGGCCTCGAGCAACATGCATGAGAAACAAAACTTAAAATGGGCAAATAGGCAAACAAGCAAGATAGACAAAATGATGGAATAGGCAACATAGATATAAATAGGAAAATAATGACAAAATAGACAAATTGGCAAATAGGCAAAAATCGACAAACACACAAATTGGAAAAATCGATAAACGAGCAAATAGACAATTAGACAAAAATTGACAAATAGGAAAAATAGGCAATCATAGGCAGAAATGGGCAAACTTAGGCAATCATAGGCAAAAATAGGCTAAAATCGGCTACATAAACAAAAAATAGGCAAAAATTGACAATCGAAGCAAAAATAGGCAAACTTAGGCAAAAAAGGCAATCATAGAAAGAAATAGGCAAACTTAGGCAATTATACGCAAACATAGGCTAAAATCGGCTACATAGGCAAAAATGGGCAAAGATCGGCAACTTAGGCAAAAATAGGTAAAAATCGACAATAAAAACAAAAGCGATAACTTCGGCTAAAATCGGCAACGAAAATGAAAGCCAAAGCTTTGGCCAAAATCGACAACGAAAGACGAAAGCCACAATAAGCAAAAATCGACAACGAAAAACAAAACGGCGGCTTTGGCCAAAATCGGCAACGAAATCGTAAATTGGTGGCTTTAGGCAAAAATAGGCTAAAATCAACAAAACGAACACACATAGGCAAAAATTGACGAGAACCGACAATGGGACCAAAATTAGAGAAAACGGATAAAAATCAATAAAATTAATTACTTTAGCATGCTTCACAAGAACGAATTACATGGCAACATTTCAAACATTAATGACCCAATTTTTTATACAAGTTATCATGCAAGACGCGATTTTAAAATATGTATTCTAATACTAACAACTAGCAACACGTTTAAACCAATGCATCATTCCAATCATATCGTAAAAAAAATCAAAAGTATACATTATTGTAATTCAAACGGATTACACATGAATAAACGAGATCAAATTATATCACATTCATTCAATTAATTGCATGACATATATAACATGAAGCAAATTTAATACATGTAATAATAATAATAATAATAATAATAATAATAATAAAAGAAAATAAAGCAAAACAAAAGTAAAAAAATAACCGTAAAGAAGAAAAAGAGACGAGCTGATTTGCTTGATGATCTCTAGGTCGATCCGACCTTTCGACCCCGATGGAGACTAGCCCTTAGTCAATCGGGGAGAAAAGGTAGCCGCCGGCTCATCGGGAAGGCGCCGGTGCTTGGCCGGTCGGGCCGGCACGTGCTAGGCGCTCGACGCCGGGCGTGGGCGCCGGTGCTAGCACGCGCCGGGCATTAGCATTCTGCGCCTGGGCGCTCTGCGCCGACACTCGGTTGGCTTGGCGCCGACGCTGGTTGGCTCGGCGTTAGGCGCCGGGCCCAGGCGCTGGGCGCTAGGCATTGGGCGTTAGTGCTGGCGCATGCTCGGGTGCTAGCGTTGGTGCTCGGGCTTGGGCGCTCGGCACTAGACAATGGGCGTTAGTGTTAGCATGCGCCGGGTGCTCGTCGATGGTGCTAGCCTGCCGGCGTTGATGCTTGGTTGGCTCGACGCCGGGTGCCGGCAATGAGGCTAGCGAGCATCCGCAAGCGAGACACATAGGGAGGCTCGATGGAGCGTGCACGCGAGTCCGTGCTCGGCCGTCGTGGTGTGTGCGGGCGTGCTTGGCTTGCCTACCGAGGTGTGCCGATGAGCGGCGGGCCTATTGCTAACGTGGGGGGCTGCTCGCTAGCGTGGGGGCCGCCGAATGCTATGGAGGGCCACTGCTGGTATGGGGTGGCTACTCGCTAGCGTGGGAGGCTACTCGTTGGTGTTGATGGAAGAGGGTTGGCGTCTAGGGTTCTTTGGAGGTGGGGTGAACGAGTAGATGCCCTTTGTGGGAGAAAAAGGAGGGCTTTTATACTAGCTTTTTAGGGTTTTTGGGAAAAAATCTGTTTTGGTCCCTTATTTTAAAAACCAACTTTATTTTGCTTATTTTCTATTCTCTTGTTCAATCGCACCCCTATATATATTTTTTACTTCCTTTTTCTTTTCTTCTTCTTTTTCTTCTCTTTTTTTGACTCAAAATTGGGTGTTAACAGTTGCCCCCTCTTTACAATGCTTATGACGTGAAGCCATTGAAAATTTGACTTTTCTATGGCTTTACATAGTGAGCTTGTAAAGAAAATCATAGAAGGGCCATAAAATAACAACGTCCATTCAAAGGCCTTCTCCAAACATAGGTTGATGTAGGTGACCGTCCTCGTGGTCAAAAATGCGACTTTTCTTTGGCAATGCACCGGATTGTGAGCGATGTACCCGAAACACAAAAATTGTTACTTGTCAAGACATACACTTCCCTCCTAGCTGCAAGTACATCTTCATCAAGCTAGGTTCGTGATTTCTAGGCTAGCCGCTCTTGTGGATTTTTGCCTATGTAATCGCACATCTTCCGAATCATTTTTTTTGATCGGCCGACTTTCTACGCGCATGCTTGGACCGTCATTACCAAATGCTTTATTCCTTGCCATTGGATATTGATGGGGTGTACTGCGAAATGATCGAGGCAACCTTTGATTATCATTGTATGCTATTCATCGGGCTTTTTTTTTTACACTAATAGTTAATGAAAAAGCCTTTTCATCTATCAAGGGTGAATAAAATTCCTATCATTCCTGTCATTTTTCCTCTTTTGTGTTACTATTTTTCATACATAACATTAAGCATGAGATTGCGCATGAGACCAATAAAAGATTCTTGTTCATCTTTCGGAGACTCGATCACCTTGCAAGAGCGAAGTTATTTTGATAGATAAAGAAAAAGTCAATAATGGTTATATGGGATGGGTAAGAAAGAAAAGAGAAACAATAATAAAACGATTAAACTAGAAAATATTCAGCATAATTTTGATTATTTTCTTTTTGCAACGGAACAAAGAAAAATTTGGCATGCTCAAGCATGATATTTCTTTACAATGTCGAATTTACCGGCTTCGACAAGACCTCACTATCGATCTTCATCAAAAGGAGGGCTCCCCAGAGAATGCTCTTTTTACCACATACGGACCCTCATAATTTGGTGCCCACTTACTTCTTTCTACCCCGGGATCACGAGTACTCTCTTCAAGACTAAGTCCCCATCACCAAAAGTTCTTGTGCGAATTTCTTATCATACGCTCGAGCAATTCTTTTTTATACAATTGCGCATGACAAATAGTCGCTAACCTTTTCTCACTAATCAAGTTCAGCTATTCATATCCGATTTGGGCCCATTCGGACTCATCTAGCTCGCTTCTTTTAACACCCTCAAAGATGGTATCTCTATTTCTATGAGCATCACTCGCCTCCATCCCACATACCAACGAGTACGGAGTTGCCCCAATTGACGTCCTCACTACCATCCTATAAGCATGTAATGCGGACATCAACATTTCATGCTAGTCTATGTATGTGACTATCATTTTCCGTATGATCTTCTTTATGTTCTTATTTGTAGCTTCCACGACCCCATTCATCTTGGGTCTATACTCGTGAAGAATTACGGTGCTTGATTTTCCACTCGTTCGCATAATTCCGTAATCATATTGCCATTGAAATTTTGTGCATTATCCATGATTAGGGTCTTCGAAGGCCCATATCGACAAATGATGTCTTTCCGTATGAATCGATGGACAACTCTGCGGGTAACATGTGCAAAGGATGCTGCTTCCACCCATTTAGTGAAGTAATCAATTGCTACTTAGGATGAAGCGATGACCATTACTAGCTTTCGAATTTATCGGCCCAATCACATCCATTCCCCGCATTGAGAACGACCGGGGAGGCACCATGTTAGAGAGGGGTGCGGGAGGAGCATTTATCCCGTCCGTATAGATTTGGCATTTGTGGCACTTCCGTACATAGTCTATGCGGTCCCTTTCTATGGTAGTCCAAAAATAACCACATCTCTAAATTTGACCGACCATCATGTGTCCATTGGCATGGGTTCAACAAATCCCCTTGTGAACCTCTTCAATCACCTTTTTAGCTTCGATGGAATCTAAACACCTCAGCAAAGTCCCATCAAAACTTCTTTTCTATAATACTTCGCCATCTAAGTAAGAATCCGTTGCCAAACTTTGAAGTGTCTTCCTATCGGTCTTCAAAGCACACGATGGGTATTCTTGATGTTTTATGAACTCGTTTGATGTCTTCATACCTTGGCTTTTCATCGGGCTCAACCTCGATTAGACAACACGAGTGGGTCATGACATTTCGACTTCGATGCATATGGGGTGAGCCTTTATACCATGTGCTATCTTCATCATTACGACTATTGTAGCCAAGGCATCGACGAAAGTGGTTTTTGTCTCGACCCAAATGAATGAACTCTATCTCATCAAAACAATCATCTAGCTTTGTTAAGTACTCCCGAAATAGCTTCGACTTTTCATCTTTCGTCTACCATTCTCCTCTAACTTGACAGATTATTAGTAACGAATCACCATCACATCTAACTTTTGGATCCCCATTTCTAAGGCTACTTCTAACCGTGCACGCGAGCCTTATATTCTGCTATGTTTTTTGTGCATTCAAATTGTAATTTTACAGACCATTGGAAACTCGCTTTCCATCTAGTGAGACGAGGATCGATCCAATATCGTTTCCATTCACATTGATTGCCCTATCGAAATACATGGTTCATTTGCTAGTTTTGGACTCGGATTCTTCATTTATGGCTATAATTGACTCATCGGGAATGTTAAATTTCGGAGGTTCATAGCCATCGGTTGCATTATCTCGCTAGTTGATCGGCTAGGACACTCCTTTTCACTACTTTTCTCATCATATACACAATATCATACTCGGACATCATAACTTGCCATCGTGCAATACGGGTAGATAAGTATGGCTTTTCAAAGATGTATTTAAGTGGATCCAATTTTGAAATCAACCACATGGTAAAATAAAGCATGTACTTGTTTAAGCCTTCTTGCACACCATACTAGGCATAACACATCTTCTCGAGCACATTATATCGAGACTCACAATCGATGAACTTTTTACTCAAGTACTAGATAGCTCTGCTCTTTCCTTCCCGATTCATCACACCGGCCTAGGACGCAACCTACGGCCACCTCTCGTCACGGTTAAGTATAGAATCGGAGGCCTTCCGAGAACCGGTGGTACCAACAACGATGGATTCTGCAGTGTCGCTTGATTTTATTAAAGGCTAGTTGACAATCTTGATCCCATACCCCAGGATTCTTCTTTCATAATAATCGAAAGATTGGTTCACATGTCATGGACAACCGAGATATGAACCGAGCTAAGTAGTTCAAACAACCTAAGAAACATCTAATCTCCCTCTCGGATGAAGGTGCGGGCATGCTTTGGATCACTTTAACCTTATCCGGATCAACTTCAATTCCTCTATTGCTTAGTAAAGCCCCGGTAGTTTTCCTAACTTTACACCAAATGTGCATTTACAAGATTCAACTTCAATCGTACCTCTCAAAGAGCTTCCTTAATGTCGAGTCCGATTTTCACCTTCTTTTGACTTTGCAATGATATCATTTATATACACTTCGATGTCTTTGTGCATGTCATGGAAGAGTATGACCATGGCCCTCCGATAGGTGGCTCCCGCATTCTTTAGACCAAAAGGGATAACTCGCAAAAGGTTCCCCAATGTGTGATAAAAGTCATCTTCTCCTTGTCTTCCACCTCCATTTTGATCCGGTCATATCCTAAAAAATCATCCATGAACGAATAAGTTGTATTTTTTATCGCATTGTCCACCAAGACGTCAATATGAGGGAGGGAAAAATCATCCTTCGGATTGGCTCTATTCAAATCATGAAAGTCCACACACACTCGGATTCGACCATCTTTCTTCCCCACGACAATAATGTTTGACACCCACTGAGGGTACTTAACCACTTCTAAAAATCCAGCATCCCACTCGCTTCCTTATCTCATCTTTGACTTTCAGCGGAATATCCGGCCTTGTTCGTCTCAATTTTTGTTTCACCGGCTTGCTCCTTGGGTTCAAAGGTAGTCTATGTTCCACTATGTCGGTGTCTAAACTTGGCATATTAGCATACGACCATGCAAATACATCCGTATACTCCTCTAGCGAGTACAATCAACTTTTCTTTTTCTATACTCTCTATCAAGGTGCCTATCTTTAGCTCCCTTCTATTCTCCTTGGTCCCCATATTTATTACCTCCAAATCCTCTACGTGCGAGTCGAAGGAATCGTTCGATTGCTCAATTAGCTTAATGAATTCTCAAATATCATTGTCATCCCATTCTTCTTCGTCCATTGCAATTAGGGTTTCATCAAAATTAGGCCATATATTTTTAGGAGAATCATTTTGGTTTTTTAAGAAGCGATCATATTGATTGTCCCTAAAATGAAATAAAATGCAAATAAAAAAGAATAAAAGAAGACAAAGACTAAAATTTAAACAAATTTTATGCAATCCAATAATTAATATTTTTATGACAAATAACAACAAGTAGTATACGTTTAGTATACTACAATGTTCAAAGAACAAAAAACAAAAATGATAATAAAATTACTCGGTCTTGAAGACTAAAGGTGCTTCTTCATCGAACCAATTGTGTAACTCTTCTTCCTTAGTGAACTTGCGGATGAGTTGATCTAGATCAAAGGTGTCTCCCAATGTATTGACCATGAGCCGAGGCGGGACGGTTGTACTTACACCGGCTAAGGCCGGCATTAGGCTGGACCGATTGACCTCCATCATCAATTTCTTCAACCCCTAGAGTGTTCACTACCATATCTTGGAA